GGAGAGGTGGTAGAACTTTGGCAATGGGACAGCCTGGCGGCCCTGCCCTCTCAATTTGTGCTATTATTATTATAAGAGGTTTATTTAACAAGCTGAGTGGAAAACTGCTCGAAAATATTTATATAAGGTGCTGGTGGAGAAATAACGTGACAAGCTCCAAACACTCATAAAAGTATAATAATGTAGCAGTGGCGAAGGATGCATATTTGAAGTAGGTAAGTAATGTAGAATAAATTTTATAGGTAAGTCGATAAGAATCATGTTATATCGTAAAATAGCAAAGCAACGTAGTCTTTTTTCACACTGATTGCATTGAGGCATAGTCTCCAGGCAAATAAAACGTGCGGACTTATTTCTCTGAAAAACTGAACCGCGCCAAGAGTGGTTACATACGGTGACTTTTAGCAGCGATGCAAACGCGTCTTGCAATTTATAGACGATTGCATCGATGCAAACGCGCGATTACGATCAATCGTGACAGTCGCATAAGTTGAATAATTATGTACGAAAAATCTGTATAGGTTTATGCACATTATATTGTTTTGTTAATTGTAAATTTACAAGCGAAATTAATAAATACATGAAATAAATAAATTAGTTAATTTAAAACGTGAATCGCATTTGCATCGCGTTTGCATCGCTGCTTAAAGTCTCGCGCGTGTGTAAAGGAAGACGATTAGCAACCGCATAGTAGCAATGCACGTGCATCGCGATTGTATCGCTGCTAAAAGTCGCCTTGTATAACTGCTCTAAATGTGTGTTGCGATGAAATTGCGCCAGGAACGTCCAAGGACAATCGATTACGGTCTTTAATAAGTAATGCACTAAGACGTATCATAATATACAACCTGGATCTAAGAGTGTATTTGAGAGAGAAGTTTAGCGAAATTAACTTATTTACACAAGGCTGCGTACAGATTTGCTCGATTTCTTAAAAGATCGACAAAAACAAAACGTGTAAGTTTTGTAAGCAACAGACGACCGGCTTAGTATTTTTTGTGGATCAACATATTATATTGTATGATCAGACGAAATAGAGTAAATGTGTAATAAATAGACGATTGATATCGTATTTTCGTACATCGTACAAATCTGTAGGTTACCTTTACACAGTAGGTACACACGCCAGCACATCAAGCTACACGTTGACGTATCTTGTTCAGTTGCACTGGAGGCGATTTTCGAACAAAAATGTGTAGTTTGGCGTGCCGTTGTCCGTACATTTATGAAAATGTAATGTTAAGAATTTTTTTACCAAAAATGTGATAAATATAATATTAATACTAGGATTAAAAATAAATTGGCTGTTCTTGACTGTTGTGTTAACAAAGTCACAAATTCATACGTTTCTAAAAAGAAATAATAGAAAAATAATAAGATTCCTGTTGATATTCAAAATTTGCTATTTACGGGGTTTAAACCTGTAGTCAAACAAAAACTTTACACTAAAGGTTAGTTTATAGTTTCTGCGTACTGGGATGACAAGACTCTTTAGTAGTGACCCGTTTAACTCTTGCCTGTTCTCTCGACTCATGCTATTTGAAACATTATATTGTAAATGATAAATGTGTAGGTACACATGTTTATTTACCAAGATCAACCCCTGGAGTTTCTTACCAATTCTTCTCAAGAGAATCTGCCTTATGAATGAGTGGTAGAGTTTAATCAATATGACGATTTCAAATGCAGTTTGCTTACCAATGAAATTAAGATTATTTGATTTTGAGTTTCCGCCAGTTTCAAGATACTCTTATCATTTAAAAAGATGGCAACACCTACACAAGTACCTACTTGAATGAACGTTTATTATAATTAGTTTATTAGCGTACCATCGTGTGTGTGTAAGTAAAATGGTAAAAAGTATATCGAATGAAATAATAAGTATTATTAACCGAAATCGCTGTCTTGCTGGTTGGACAGACCGTCGCCCGCGCCTCTTTCGCTCCAGTCTAAGGGGCTTTCAGGCGGTGGCGGCGCTTCCGGTGTCTCTGACTTCAGGGGAGGCGTGGATAACTCCGAGACTGGCGTTACCGGCGCGCTTTTATGTTCCACGTTCCTCCTAAACGACAAATGCTCTATGCGCAGCTTGCTCGAGGCACGACTCATTATCGAGTCCCTTCGCTCCTCCACTCCGTTTATGCTCTTCGTCAGCGCGGTATAGTTAGGCTGCAGGTTCTTATTTACTTCGGACTGGTAATCCTCTTGCAACCACGGTGGTACCTGAAACGTAATATCGTCTACATTTATATTTCAAATTTGGCGCTGCCAGGGATATGCCACATTTATTTACGTACGAGTAGTAGAAGAGTGAGTCGGTTCCGACAAAACTCATTTCACGAAACTTGGTGCCTGATATTTGGTACGGATACATTCCAAGTTTCAGGTTAATATTTCTTAGTGATTTCATCAAAGTGAATACAACTCTAAGATACACTTACTTTCAATAAACTTTGTTGTGTTCCTTGTTTATCTCTAATTATTTGTATGTGAGCCGCTAATGGATGCTGTATCGTGGGCCTATTGTCCAGTTCGTTTAGATTCGTTGATATTTTGTATCTTACCGCCTCTAAGTATGTGAGCATGGAGCGCATCTGAAAAGTAAACCTTAGTTTTGTTGATTTTGCTAATATTGTTGAACGAAAGTGATTTGAATAAGATATTGAGATATCTAAAGATACCATTGCTTCTCCGTAATGCTAGATTGATTTCATGAGGTAAAGAATAACTAACGTGATATAGCTTGTCTGCCACATTTTGCTGCGAGTCGTCTGTGCCAAAGGTAGGCGTTTGCTTGATTGCCATTGCTAGCTTCTCCAGGCCTTGCATCGACTTCCGCTCCCGATCAATGTCTTGTTTCACTAGTTGTAATATTTTCAATAGAGCCTGAAATTATACACATTGGATACTGATTTGACAACAATTTAAGTTTGTTTATTCGGCAATTGAATTTAAGTGAAAGGAAATAATTCCATAATTTATACTTTTACGACCTCGGTGACCCAACGGTTTGCACTGTGGGCATTGGATGTGGAGGTCCCAGGTTCGATCTCGGTAGGATCAATTTCGGAATGGAACTTTTTTAAGTACGTTCTGTTCTGGGTGTTCTGACTTGTGCTCTCGGAGTTAAGTTGCTCTGGTGCTCATAGTACTAGAAATTACCCTTAAGTTTGAGATCAGGCTATTGGTGTTGTTGTTTAGCGCATTTGCACATTTTACTTAATTGAAATACTGCTACATAGAAGTAAGTACAGAGTTAAGGCCCATTTAGATGGAGAGAGTTTCTCGCACGCTCCGTGACGAAAACTCGTACGCGGTTGTCGTAAACAATAATCGCCATAAGATTATCGTATCGTAATGTTTACATTCAGGCAAGAACTAAAATCTCGCCTACGATTATGTCATACGAGATTCGCAAGCAACTTAATCGCCTCCTCGACTGTTTACACAGAGAAATATGTAGTAAGGAGATTCTTGCTTACGAGTTTTCGACTTGTCTAAACACGATCTCGTATGACATTTTTTCAAGTTCATACGATTATCCTACAAATCGGTTCGAACCGTTTTGAGTACGACAATCGCCATTAGAGTCAGTGATTACTGATGGTATTGACTATGAATATATCAAAATGACGCAAAAATCAATTTGGAATTGCTGATAATATTAAGTTCATTGCACTGTATAGAAATATACATTTTTTAAATTTTTTTTTGTATATATAACATTTCTTAACCCTTTTTTTTTCTTTTTCGTTTCCTTAGTTCTTGTCTTAAAAAAGCAGTGATAATCAAAACACGCTCGCGCACTGTACTAGAAATAGTATATAGTAGTATGTATGGTAGAAACGGCTGGAACAAAATCTCGAAATACGATTTTTGCTTTCAAGTTCTGTTTACACGGAGATGTTCAATATTGAAAGGCGAGGCGATTATCGCTCACGTGGAAGGGCGATAATCGCGAATGTTTAGACGAGGAAAGTTTTTTATATTCTTTCGATAATCGTATCTTCGAGACGAGAACCTCTCTCCATCTAAATGGGTCTTTACACTGCATATTATAAGTTCTTTGATGTTAGCTCTGATCTTGAATGGCTAATATCATGAAGTCATTAGTAAGAGTAGTGGTAAGAAACTATATCACTATTATCTTTATACTTATTACTGCAAGTACTAGTGATGCAACAGAAGTGTCATGGCGGAAACAGAAACGGTAACAGAGGTCAAAAGTGTAAATAATATAAAAAATGTAAATAAAAAAGGAAGCAAAAGTGTAAATAATAGTATTTTTTTGTGCTTTTTTTTAGATAGATTTTTAATGAAATAGCTCCAAACAGGGCTAGTTTTTGGTTTCATAATTGCGCTTAACTGCTAAACAATATGCGCTCGGGCTTGAAATCCATCGCGCGAACTTTAAAAATTCGGAAATTAAGAAGCGCTAAAGTTCAGAAACGGAAATAGATGTGAAATAGAGTGTGGAACTTCTACAGTTGCGGAAGCAGAAGCAGCGAGGTCTGTTGCATCACCAGCAAGTCGCTGCTGGCCTATACACGTCGACCGCGGAGTGCTAAAAAATTGGAGGAAATAATACGTAGTACCCATAGAAATCTAAATAATAGTACCTATATGCATATTACTGAGTCTAAACCAATATTGGATATTAAAATAAAAAAATTTCGTTTCCTATATTATTCGTTGTTTATATGAAGGTATAGTTCACCTGTTTACGCCGTTCCTTGTTCATAGCGAGGGTGGTGTGTTCGCAATAGAAGTCCGGGAGCAATTGTTCGCTGGCGCCTGGCGGAGCTGACCTGACACCTCGCACTACTTTCATGTCCAAATTGGCATTCGCGTTTTGTATTGGCACTACGAGAGCGTTTGTTGCCTGCAAATAAGAGCCCAAATAAAATTATGTAGAGGTTTCATATGTCTACATTGTTTTCATGTGTCATAAAAGGTGGTAAAAACATCAATCTAAAATAGACGTTACGGAATGGTTATTTAATGTTTACATATTTGGTTGCGTTTTTAGTGTTTTCACAGGTGGTTTCATCGAATGACTAATTGTGTGTTAATGGCCAGAATTGGCATTTTCGAATTAAAACAATTTAACTGTGCCATTTAACATAAATAACGTTAAACATAAATACATATACATATAGTAGGCAGAGACAATTGATCGCCACTTAGTGTTAAACAGTAAGATAATGTTTTTATAAAAAAGCAGATCTTAAAAGTTCGTGGAATTACATCTATTTGCCAAGTTTTATTCAATTCGGTTACACGAAAGTGCGCGAAACCGGGTTTATCCTAGTTTGCCACCATTAGAGGTGGAATATTTTCTTAAAATTTAAATTGGATCCTATACTGAGGTACCCTCCTTCCAACAAAAAAAAGAATAATCACAATCGGTTTGCAAATGCCGGAGTAATCGCGTAACATACACACAAAAATGAATTGAATTAAGACTCTCTTCTCTTTTTAAAGTCGGTTAAAAAGTACAATTAAATATTTTAGTGAGAATTTTAGATATATATACGCCAGAATCCTTACCTCTTAAGTGTGCTAACGGATAAAACTATGAATATGATTTGTAGTTTAAGTAATTATAGTAAAATACCGTCCTCATCAGTCTTCAAAATGGTAGTTCAGAGGAAAAATGTCATTTAAACTGTGAAGTAAAAACTCTGGGCATAAATTTTCAGCTTGAAATCTCTCCTCATTTCTATACTTTTGCGGTTTTGTATCTACCACCCAAATACAAGATACTTATATCGAATCTATATCTATCTCCAAAATACTTAAACTCGCTTAAGCGTTCACATAAACACACGTACCTCGGTCAATTTTGGAGGCACTGCAGCGGTCAATCTGAGGTAACAATCGGCACACGATTTAAGCTGTGCAAGCCGTTCCTCTTCGAGGGACTCCAGCATGCCCGCGCCCTTTACCACACTCGTCTCCCATTCTAACCTGGGTGTTACAAATATTTGCTTCATGTTACATTTCTATAGTCCTACATTTAACAATCCTAGGATGGCGACACTACCCATGTAAGATGTAAGTACCCCTGTGTAAAAAAATAATAAATCCACCAGTGTCTTCGGTGGGACATGGGTGGGACCTTAGAGGGTTTCCATAGTCTAAGGATGGGACCTTAGAGGATGGAAAAAAAGTGGTGGGACAGGTAATCTGTCTATGTTTCTAAGCCTCTAAGGTTTCTACCTTGGAGGATGGAAAGGTTTCTACCGTCAAATTTCTATGAAAAAAGTATTTTTTGACGAATTGACGGCGAGAAGTTTACCTGGAGCGCTCTGCATGCACGCAGATATTGTAATATTCCACTTCAGTCTTTTTAACAGCGTCTTCTGTCTTCCGTTTCTTGACCTTGAGCTTGGCGACGTCCTTCTCACTGGTAGCGTTAGTCCCTCGCTCGGCGCGCGCTGCGCTGAGGATAGAATGCGCGTGTGGAATGTGGCCCACACTTGAACTCCGCGATATGCGGCTGCAAGTAAATAACATGACATCTGAAGAACTCTACGCCTTTTCCTTACGACAGAACACGGGAATAACAGAATAAAACAACACAGTCCTATTGATTTACATTCGCAATGGTTCTACATTTCGCATAGCAGCGCAAAAGAAGGATCCCACGAACAGTACTTAAATAGATATAAACCAAACATTTCATTCGCTCTCATCCGCAATGTATAAAGTTGATATAGTCTTCATCCAAAAATTTTAGCAGACCTAATTTCCAAAGTTGCGTCCTGGAGCTTTTCATTTTCTCTGGCTGCAGTGTGAGAATGTTTCTTTGATTTTGCTTCTGCCGTCCGCCACTCGGTAAGTGCTCGCGTCGTTTTATCTACGTTTCCTTCAATCTGTAACGATCATGGAAACATTATCTAACTACCAACGTAGTAATCAACGTCAGCAGGATATTGGATTCCTGGTATTGAATGTCACGGCGTTCATTGTAATTGCAGTGTTACCTTCTTTCTAAGTTTTAATTGGTTATCGGCGACATGTTTCATTGGTTTCACTAACTCGTCCGCAAGAGCGCTGGAATAGTTTCTGTAATGACGAAATAAACCTTTTATTCTTGGAAGTTATGCAAGCACTAGTTATATAGACATTCTAATGATAATGACATACAATTTATCTTTTGCGAGGTATGTGGGTATTTAATGCAATCTTTGTTGTTTACCTATGTATTTCAGCGCGTTTTTCCATTTCTATGGCGACGTGTTTCCATGCTTCTGCACAAGAACCAACGCTTTCCTTGCATGCTTTGCTTAGCTTTGCCCCAAGTTTCGCTAAACATTTAGAGTAATAGTTTTCTGCTTGCACTCTACAACAAGAAACAATGTCTTAATCTGTCGGCAACGTATTTTTCTTGACAATGGAAGTGTACAATACAACGTATAAATAAACAATTATGTTAGCGCAACGTTTTGTTGTCGTGTCTACAAAAATACTTTTTATCATTGTGATTGGGTAAACCCATAACTTCAGAAGTAGTTATAGTAAATGCAGTTCAGACCAATGGATGGAGATTAATTTTTAGAACGCCGTTTATATTTACGTCTACGACGACTTGGCCCACTTGGCGGCACCTCGCGACGCGCTATTTCTGATTTTGTGGCCATTGCCGCGGCCCCACCAATACACCGCGGTCGATCACGCAATACAGTATCATTTAGCCCGATAATGTTTCAGAACTGAGAGAACTATAATTAATACAATTGTATACAACAATGAGTAACAATCAAATTGTCCCAGAATTTTAAGGCTCATTCAACATATTTCGATGAATAAACGCTCGAAGAAGCAATTTGCGTTTAAACAATAAGGTATTGTTAATCTATGTGGAAAGTAAGCGTTACAGAGAAATGTCGATAAGATTGCTTATCGATTGCGTGCACGACTGGTTCCGAAGCTGGGTCGCTGGAGCGTGGCGACCGTTCAAGTGAAGCGAGGCAGTTGGACCATGCATGGATAAAATATGGTAATAGCCCCGTTCGTATATCTCCACATCATATTTACAGTGTTTATTTAAGTTACATAGGGGCTTAAGAATTTGAATAGACGCAAAAGATAGGACTACGCTGTTATTTCTGCAATATTTGACCAGGCGCGCGTTTTTGCTATTACTCATACTTATATTATTACCTTTCCTGTAAAATTACAGCTAATTCTTTACTGAAATCGCTTCCTTGCTTCACGTAGCGACGCAGCTCATCAAAACCGTGTTGCGCCTGGAATAGTAAAAATTTAGATTAGAATAGAATAGAATAGAATAGAATAGAATAGAATAGAGTAGAATAGAATAGAATAGAATAGAATAGACATTTATTGCAACGCCACAACACATAGATACAAAAAAAAAATGGTACTACTTAGACAAGCAAAACAAAACAAAAAGACGTAATTAACAAAATTAAAATAAAATGAAATAAGACAATAACAAACAAAGAGCAAAACAGAAAAATACTAAATATAACAACTACAAATGTTGTACTGTCATGTGTGCGGTTGTGGCGTATGCAAAAGGACTTCATTCAGCTTATGCCACAGCCGCAATTGACTGTGGCGCTGGTTTTCATTAGTTGTACGCATAATTAATGTAGGTAAATGTAGGTATACAAAATGTTTATATAGGACATATCTCATCTGTTATTGATTGAAACTATTGTGTTTATCAAAACATTAGTCGGAAGTATAAGACGATTATGGCAATTAGATTATTCGGGAAAATTATAGGCTGTTTTAATTAAATTATCGCGCATGGGTTGCTATTGCTAACTAAAATTTATCGCCGAAATAATAGGTATAATTAATAATTGAAGGGCAGTTAAATGTTTTGTGTGAACTGAGATGTGAGATTGGGTTTGTGGGGATTAATAAAGTAAATATTACAAGCAGTTTTTGTTTGTTTCTTTGTATTTATAAAATACGTTGGGTAGCCTGGTTTAAGACGACACACTTAAAGTTTAAGACCGTGTAGAATGAAAACAAAAAGTGTTAGAAAATCAACTATTGTTTTATTTTATTTTATATTGTTTTAGTTTCTACTTATCTGACTCTTACATACTAACGTGAAAAGTACTTATACTTAATAGTGTGGTTGTAATTGATAAAAAAGTGCAAAATGGGATTTGCGTACTCTGTACTATGTGTAAGAGTACTCATATGCGTCGGCAAGAGTTCGTTACACCTTTTTTGATAGGACTTCGTTTATCAATTGCACGAATCACCTCCATACTCTTCTGCTAATGTGATTTTTTGTCTCGGTATGCATGTAAGAAGAATCTACTTGTGACACATTTCTCAGGGCTATTAAACCTTTGAAAATACTAGGCTCTCGAAAAAGGTTTCAGTTGATTTAGAACGAGGCATAGCGACAGACATTTTAATCAGAAATACACTATTCTAAAAAATTGGTATGATACTACACGTACTCTTGCAAACGTCGAGTTGCGTACTCTTGCAACACGTCGAGTTGCGTACTCATGCACACTTCAGCCATTCGAGAATAAAACTGCTACTAACCCCATGTGTTGCAAGTGACCAGAATCGTTTGCAGTTTGATCTCTAGACGAGTTTTTGGGCGATTTCATACAAAGTCAGTGTAAAAAAATATGCTTAGTTTAGTCTCAGTAACAATTTGAAAATACCAAAAAGGTTTATGCAAATACGTCAAAGTGTTCAAACTTAGGTAGTTTTATGGTTTTCAATGACTTTTGATAATTTTTCCGCACAACAATCTCCACTTCCAAGCACTATAAAATGACACTGAACTTAGTTGCTTAATGTAAATAACTACTCGGCAATCTACATTGCGTACTCTTATCTGATGCGTCATCTTAGACCAGGCTACCCTATTAGAAAATAATTGTGATTGGCTACTTTTAAATGATTCTAGTTGTTGACTTTTGTAAATAGTTTTACATAACATAGCATATTGTAAATAGATATATTGGTCAGACATGGCCAATGCGTTTACATTTTTATATATACCTACTATACACGTCAGTTGCCGACAAATCACCCTTTATCTGACTGTCACGCGCACACGCGCTCACGCGCCAACGGTATACATCAATGGATTAAATGATACCTCTGATACATAACCACAACATATACGATAACTTTCTTTGCAGTGTTACTTTCACTGTGGTCAAAAAGGATTCCAATACTCGTGTTAGTAAGATTTAAAATGGAATGTTCGCAACTGATAGTTGCTGCGATTCGAAAATGGTGTGCGCATGAGTTGAATGGTGACGAACGCACGCGCTTCCGGCCGGGAAGCGTGCACAGCTATTAGGAAATGAAAACAGGCCGAGTCCAAAATAGATAAAATCGGCGAAACTCTTAATACCCCCAATATTGTAATAATGATTATGTTATAGTGATCCCAAACGTAATAGGGGTCATTCCTTACACTTTTCTTAGTGATAGCACTATAGTTTTATGCTAATAATAGAGATGAGTTAGAACAATGATAATAAATTCTTGTAAAAGCAAATTGGTTTCCACGCCTACTAAACGCTAGCATATTGTATGCGGAAACTTGGTCGGCAGAGTCGATTTTAAGAAGAGATAATTGAGGCAAACTAAACAATTCATGGTAGTGTTGGTAATGAAATTAAGCGAGCACCGTTTTATTTTAGCGCATTCTTACCTAAAATGCTTTCGCTAGACTTTTTTTCTCTCGATGGAGTAAAACCTCCAGACAGTTACCCTGATTATACTGGGTACGTTTGACTTTCTCTCTTATGGTTATTGTCGTATTGTGGCTTCAATACTTGAGAACAATGATGTCTTTGATTGTTTCTTCTTTCACATTACGTCAAGAATACATGGCGCTATCTAGACAGATAACGTTGTGTGTTTGCACATTTTATTGTATGCTTTCTGTTGACGGTAGGATGATAAAAACATTTGTTACTTGAACTCTACCACGATGTCTTAAAAAAATTCAAATGTAACTCCTTTTTCGCTCATCTGTATGATGAGCGAAAATGGACGAAGTGCTGAAAACGCCAATATACGACGTATGTCAGGCGTGGATTATGATCGCAATGAAACTGCAACTTATAAAGCGCATGGAGGCCCTGCCTAATTTCCGCTATATATTTTTTATAATACCAAGTGATGGGACGAACAAGGCATGCGCCTACGAGTGTTAAGCGACATGCCTGTTTGAGGGACATCGCCAGTGTGCCTGTCACCTTGAGACATAAGTTAACAAGTTGACAATCTCACATTACTGCTTGGCGGCAGAAATAGGTAAGGTGGCGGTATTTTCCTGGGCGAACCCTTTCACAAGGATATACTTACATACGGTTTCTACAAATCCATTTAGTTCATTCTGTGAAGTAAGTAAGTAGTATTATTTGTAATCAGAAACTGTACGGCAAGGTCAAGACCTGGATGAGCTTAAATTTTAGTTTTATTTCGTATGTATAGTAGCTGGAGAGCAATTAATGACGCTAGTGCTTATTTATATGTCAGGTGGATACGGTAGGCTACAACAAAATTGCACCTACACAATCCGTCGAAATTAGACAATGGATAATGTAACCTTGTATCGTTCACACAATGTAATATAATAACAACATTACTACACGGCAAACGTGACGTATGTTAAAAGTGATCAATTTTATGGTTTTACTGTAAGTATGTGCAACGTAAGAACTTCAAACTGAAATCTAATCACTGCAATTTAATCACTACAATTGTCACGAGTATATTTTACCCAGTAATTGTCTTTGAAGACTTGATTATTGGAGGAACGGAGGTTGATCATGTCCTCCAGGGTGTTATGCCAGCGGTCCATGCCGGCTGCTATCTTGTTGGAGACGTTCTCCCTGTTCATTGTGTCCTCCTCCTTAACCGTCTGGGAAAATCTTGCATTCCTGCTGCTATCGCCGCCAGGCTCCTTTTTGTTGGCAACACTAGAGAATGCCCTGAGAAGAAAAGTTCTTGTTTAATTTTGGAGCAAAAATAAACAGTTTCTGAACGAGTATTGAGACATATTGAGTATGTAAATAGCCCATGGTTGCCCATTTTGGCCCGTATTGAAAAAAATCTGATTATGTGACTGATTTAGAGAAATGTTAAGACGCCATTGGGGATTATGTTACAATTATAATATCATATAATTATATTACACACATACCAATTAATAATAAATTGATGTAGGTACCTAGTAATGCAAGAAATATCCAAAATAGCCTTGTCAAAGTTTGCTTGTTTTCAACAATTACCGTTGCGTTATAAATCTTAAAATCAGAAAAACAATTACGTACGGGTTGTGTGAATCACACTTCCTATTTCGATGCGTAACATCGTTCTTGCTCAATGCAGACGCTACTAACAGTGAGAATTTTTACACTTATGACTTGTTTGCAGATTAATCAAAGAATCGCGGGGTAGCCTATACACAAAAATATCGATAATGAGGAATTAATACCTACTTAAGTACCTGTGTATCCTTGTGTCAATGTCGGAAAATTTAAGTATGATAGATAAGTAAAGAGCAATGAGTAATGGTTGAAGTATGTCATTTCTCAAAACAAGGAGAATTACTGACGTTCTACAGTTGTAAACAAAAATTTAAGAGCATTAATATTAACACATATTCCGTAAGTAGGTACATTAAATTAAATTAAGTACCTACGTACAGTACCTAAGTCCAATTGGAGAGACACCATGATTTAGCTATTATGCCAAGTTCTCACGGTCCATCATTACATTTACACATCGTAATCATCAGAAACCTTTGCAAATAAAGTCAGTAACATGTACATTAGTAACTCTTTTTCGGTGAAGGGTAACTTAAATAATTTGGTTTCGTAACATTTCGAATCGACGTAGACGATTTGTAAAACGATAAATAGATCCACATCCTATGGTTTGAGGTATATATATGTACATATGTATATCTATATTAGATACTTTAGTGTTTCATATCTGAATTATCAAGGTCGTTAAGTACTTAGTACGACTTAGGAAATCTGAAAGTAGTATCCTATACTCGTTTTATCTTTTTTAAGGTGTTTGTTTTATTATGATGGAAGTAGATTAAGGTTTAGATGGGATACTTTGTATAAGTTGATGTAATAAGTGAATAAATTCTAAGTGATGTAGGTATATCTTCGGTTGAGGTGAGATTCTGCACGACATACCGGTACGGTGTCTAGTCCGCGACCGGTCATTACGTCACGTAACCGTCTCGGGCGACCGTTGGAGCAATCGAGTTTGCAACTATTACCAATGATCGCCGTATCATCAGCTCTTCGTGTTTGAATAGTGTAGGTATTTTCAAATTAGGACAACTAAAAAGGATGTCTAAAAGATTTCGTCCAGAGAAAGTATTGCCACCACAGATTCTTCTGTGATTGCCACCACAGACCACATAGTGATTGCCACCTTACCTATTTCTGCCGCCAAGCCGTAATGTGAGCATTACTGTGTTCCGGTTTTGAAGGGTTAGGGTGTTGGTGAAATTGCACATGGGACTTGTCAACTTGTGTTTCAGTGTGACGGGTACAGTGGCAGTGCCCCTCAGATCTTTAAGAGATTTGACATATGTCTTGTAAGCCAAGTAATTATTTACGAGTTCAAACAACATATTATCGACGTACAGATGCATCGACTATAGCATATTATTAGAATATTAAAAAACAACATGGCTTCACTTTTAAGACATCATTGATAGCAATGATGTCTCAAAAGTGAAGTAATTTCAAAAACCAATCTATTCGTTTTTGCAGTGCATGTTAATCGAGAAAACAAATTAATTTCGTTCGCTGTGTTATAAACAAAAAAGTAACTTGCAAAAACCAGTACTTTTGTTACAATCGCCGTCTTGGCGAGATCGCAATGGAAATCACTGTTACTATAAAATGTTTATCAGTGTTGAATCGATTTAAACGTGTAGGTACACATACACAAGGTGTACTGCACCTTGAAACGGAAGGTGCGTGATAATTCTAAAGAAAATATGTCGCTAAATGTGAGCTAATTCTGGACAAAACAGTCCTTACTTAAAAGTATGAAATTATTTTCTCCTTTTATTATTAAATTTCGATTCGATTTTAAAATTATATTTCGTAGGTAGGAAATTGTTTAGTTGTCTGTTTTATAATCTTTAACGGGAAGTGAGTAATTAGTTTGTCATCGGTTCTGAAAAAAATACACTTTTTGAATTAGTACAGTACTGTATTAACGTTGCGATATTATGATACGTCATAACGTTTGCTTCATTCACCATGCCATTTGTAAAGTAATGACATATTGTAACTGATTCTTGGAATTACAAATATATATCACTTTATCTACTCTAATTCTATATTGCTTATTTGTCATATAAACGTCAACATTGTACCGTAACAGGTGTCTTATATTTATTATAGTTTATGCAATGATAACGTGTCATGGCGTACCGTAATTTAGATTGTTTAAAAATTGACATGTTACGGGGCAATATAAAACTTACGTGGACCGATTGATTCTCAACTTAAAGAATTCTTTAAACAAATTGTTTATATATTAAAAGATCGGATAGTAATGATAGCTTCCATAGTAAAGAAATATGTGTCGATCTGCGGCGTCTTATTGCAAATAATTTGATTGTTTTTGTTTAAACATAATAATTACTTATCCACATTTAAACCAGCATATAAATGGTTCTATTCAGTAATTTTTTGAACTTTCAAATCTTGTTTTCCAATTCCGCTTTTTTTTTAGTTACGACAGTATTTGGTTTCACGCACGATGGTCGATCTATGATAGAGTGTGAAGAGGGTTAAGTTTTGCGTTAAATGAATCTGCATCAGAGATGTCCAGTGTAAGTTTGGAACGTAAAAGTGACTGATATATAATTATTTTAGGCTGTATATGTATAATAAATACCCGCCACTGAGTACTTTGAATGGCCTACTGGACTATACTAATCATAGTTCTGTTGGTTTTCCATACAAACTTTCATCCCCTTTCATATTTATTTTTGTGACAAAAAGTCTATCCTATGTCCTAGGTCTCATCTATCTCTATACCAAAATTCGTTAAAATTGGTTTAGGCGTGAAGACGTAACAGACAGAGCTACTTTCGCATTTATAATACTAGCAGGTGCCCGCGACTTCTTCTGCGTAAATTAAGTACTTCAAATAGCCTACTGCACTAATTGAGAAATGGTTGGTTCTCCATACAAACTTTCATCTCCTATTTCACCTCCTTTATGATTTATTTTAGTGACAAAAAGTAGCCTATGTCCTTCTCCTAGGCCCCATCTATCTATATCAAAATTCATTAAATATATACTAGTTTGGACTACTAAGTCCGGCGGTGCTCTGTTACCAAATTTTTCAAAGTAATTGTTAGTTATACCTTGTTTTACTCGTCTGTAGCTAAGCTATGCCTCGCATTTTATGCACAGCCTAATATGAAGCATAATTTAAATTGCATATTTGAAAGCTTTGTGTATGTAAGTAAGTATACATGACCAAATAAATAAAAGGTATTAATAACTATTGATAATTTGAAAACTATAATTTTTGACAGCTATAGAATCTATAGAAACTACACTCTGCTACATTGAATTATGCGATCATTATGTAAGTACCCTAGATGATACTCTCATCATCAAAATATTCCACGCTTCCTTTTGTTAGGATCAAAGGTTAAAGCTTTTATGATGTACGAGATATGCCATCCGGTAGAATGTCTAGGTACCTACTAATTACAATTTAAAACTTTAAAACTAACCTTTGACAGTTTTATTATCTTAAGCTCGTATCCGAGACTAAACTGTAAACCTAGATCATAAATAAATCTAGAAAACTCGGACGCACTTCGGATGTCCCTCGTACACTAAGTCCGATTAGAACCGAGAAAATACGATATCACTTGTATACATACATACATGCAGCTAAAATGATTCCTGAGACGCTTCCGACCGTCATTTCTCGGATTCGGAATCAGACGGTAGTGTGCAAACGCCACCTAGCCAAAGAAAAACTGTCAAAAATCTTAGTTTCAAAGTTGTAAATTGCAATTACTACTTACCTTTAGATATTGTACCCGGGAAAAACTTTCATAAAACTGTTTCTCATGTTTTTAACAATTTTGAGAACCTTGTCGCGTTCTACATTACTTATACCATTATTTACACGAGACGCAAAGTCACCTATGTTATCAAATATAAAATGTAAAAAAATTAACATATTCAACAACCACAACCACGAAGAATCCTCTTGGTTTGAGAAACGGAAATCAGTTGTGGAATAAGTGTCGATTTAGCGCGAAGAAAGTATTTCAGATTGATGATTCTAATGCGGTTTGGCACTTTCACTGAATGCTGAGTTACTGACGGTGTGGTGTTACCGACAATCGTGACGTGTCGCGTCGCAGCTACGTCGTCAAAACCGACTGGTAACGTCGGTGTACATAGATTAGAATTTGTCATCGATATATTTATTCTATTTAATTCCTATCATGTTGTTTGTTCTTCGTTTTATTACCATAATATTAATATACTTTTCGAGAAATACTCCATTAGTTTGTTGTTATTATTGGTACCAAGATAGAATAACACAACAAACATTCCTTCGACCTGACTGGATTCGCTCTGCGTCTGTTGCTACATCGAGGTCACCGTTTCTATCAAGTGTCTCGATGATGATTTTGATAATCTCTATACAGAGTACTAAAAAAGCGACCTAAAAAGTTCGTGAAATTACGTCTATTTGCCAAATTTGATTGGAATCGGTTACTGGAAAGTGCGCGAAACCGGATTCATCCCCCAGGTTGCCACCCTCAAAGGTGGAATATTTTCTTCAAATTTAAATGGACCAATACAGAGGTAACCCTCTTTCCAACAAAAAAAGAATCATCATAATTGGTTCACAGTTATCGCGTAACATACATACAAAAAAATACAGTCGATTTTTTTTTAAGTCAGTT